TACTTTGGTCATGTTGTCAGAAGGGACCATTCCCTGGAGAAGGATGTCATGCTTGGTGAGGTGGAGGGTCGACAAAAGAGGAGAAGGCCTTCGATGAGACGGATTGAGACTGTAGCTGCGACAATAGGCTCAAGTATAGCAAGGATCATGGAGCTGGTGTGGGATGGGGCAGTGTTTTGTTCTGCTGTGCATGGGGTCACTATGAATCGGAAGCGATTTGACGGCACCTAACAACAACAACATAGTTCTCTATATTCTGTATTGTCCTTGTTTAAGCACTTTAAGATCTTCTAAAGATTTGTCTGTAAGTTTTAATTGCTACTGTGTCCTCAGCTTAGACTCCCCCCCCAATTTAAACTTTGGTTTTATAAACTACTTGTTTTGTCTTAATGCCATAATAATAGGTGCCAGTTATTGAACATTTCTATGTGCAAGCATTATCTCCTTATTTCTCACAACTAGGTCGGTACTGTTATGGCTACTTGACAAGCACAGAAACCGGGTTAGTTGCCCAAAGATTAACATAGTTAGTGGTAGCATTTGATTTCCAACCCAGATCTGTCTGAATTCAAAGCCACTAAATTATATAATGTCTTGCCATAATGCCATGGTTCCCAAACTGTGCACCAAGGTGCCCCAGGGCATTGCAGTGAACTCAAAACACCCCTTGTGGATATTTCAAGGTAAGTACATCTACACTTAAAATCTTGTTCTTGTTATGTGCCGTGGGGTCGGACCCGACTCATAGCGACCCCTCCTTGGGTTTCCGAGGCAGTATGACTACGGAAGTAGATAGCCCCATCTTCCTTCCGAGGAGTGGCTGGTGGGTTTGAACCGCCAGCCTTCTGGTTAGCAGTCAAGTGCCTTAGCCACTATGCTACCAGAGCTCCCAAACCAAACTCACTGCCATCGAGTGCATTCCCACTCCTAGCGTCTGGTGGGTTTCGAATCGCTGACCTTATAGGTTGCAGTCAAATGCCTTATCAACCAGACCCACTAACCCATAAAGATATACAGCCTTGGAATTACTATGGGGCAGCTCTATCCTGTCCTATATGAGTCAGAATCAATTTGATGGCAGCAGATTTGGCTTGGAAGGATTAACCACAGTAAGAAAAACAAAAATCTAGATTTTTTTAGGTGGCCCTAAGAATTGTCTTTAAAAAATACTTTATTTAAAGCAAAACTCATTTAATTATAAGAGACTCCCCCAAGAGCATAAAAGCTCATTATTGTTCTTGTACTCAAACCATTATTCCAAATGTACTCATGTGACTTTGTATCTGGCAAGCATCTTTAATAAAATTTTTAATATGAGAACACTTAACTAATGTTTGGTTTCTGAATGGACTTCTGAAACATCGGTGGCACAGTGCCTAAGGCACTTGACTGCTAACCAGAAGGCTGGCGGTTCAAACCCACCAGCCACTCCTCAGAAGGAAAACCGGGCAACCTACTTCTGTAGAGATACTGCCTCAGAAACCCAAGGAGGGGTGGCTATGAGTTGGAGACAACCTGACAGCACATCCCAACAGGTATTATTATTACTTACTGAAGAAACAGAGATCTGCAGAGATTAAACAATTTGCCCTACAACATATACACTACACTGTTCAACACTACAATACACAGCTTCTAACTCTTTTCTAGTACGCCACAACTCTTGCCCAAGAGTTCAAATGTGGACTAGAACTGTTTAATCAATTACTACAAGTTGGCTGACCATCATTAAAACTTTTTCTTGCACCATAACATTTCACTCACAGAGACTGCTTTTCATTTGCCAGGTATCCTGAACCATGTAACAATAGTAATTATTCTTAGGTCATCTTATGACAGTAACCATTATTACCAGTTCTCTTTGCAAATATATAAACAGTAATGGAGTAGTTGAGCTAAATGATTCTTCTAAGCCTAAATTAATTCCCATTTGTTACTTAACTGGTGACTCTAGACAGAAAGGTAACATGAAGTATTGAACTGACCCTCATTTATTTTCTTCTGGTAATAATACCAAGCAGTGGCCAAAATACTAAAAGGAATGCAGTAGCAAGCAATATTGTCTATTACCCAAAATACAATGCCATCCAGAAAGCCTATGCCTGACTTTTAACTTGGTTCAAGTAAATTCTAAAATTACCAGCAATCCTCTTCTCCAAATCCCCACATTTCTCTCTCTGGTATACATTACTATCATTTTCCAAAGTATCCTAAAAGCAACTTACTAAAGCATTCCACTTCACAATGAATACGTCCTTAAAAATAGACTGTGAATAAACCTCATTAATGAAAATGACATTAGAAAGCTTAATTTTTAAAGAAATTCCACAAGAAGTCTTTTAAAAATGTAATTAATGACCCTCTTATGTGATACTATTTTAAAATTTACCCTTTCATACGGTAGGGTTTGTTAAGGATGCAAGGGATTTAGGAAGGTAAGATGTAATTTGGGCCTGTCTTGTATCTGCTGTATTAATTCGAAACTTTGGTAGTCAAAACTGTTTATTCTCTACAAGAAACATTTGGAAGAATTTCTTATTTGGGCCTTTGCTAGCAATGTAAATACATTCAGTGAATGATAATCAGTCTTCATTTCCATGGAAAACAGAAAAGCTACCATGCTTTCCTGGAAAGTGAACAGCTATCTGTCTTGTACAATACGCAGTGCACTTTAGCCACCTAATACCGATGAAGAGAAATGAAAAAAAGATTGATTTAGAAAACGTTTCTTCCCCAGCCATGGGTTGTTCACAGATAAAGGCAATGCTCAGAGTACAACAAAAAAACAGAAACCCTTTTCTGAGAAAAGAAATGTGCCAGAAAAGGAGAGGCATGAATCGGGAATAAATAGAGGGTTAGTGTTATGTGCTCAGTGTGAAGGATGGAGGCACAGAGCTGAGATGCTCCAGCAAAAGAACCAGCAGCAGCAGCAGCAGCAGCAGCAGCAGGAAGTTTCAATGGGGCCGGGCAGAGCATGCGCCCTGCACTCGCGCGGTGGCCTTATGTGGAACGAGCACCACTTGCGAAGACCAATAATAGACCAGCGGCACCACAGAGAGAAACATGAGCAACAAGCACCTTCTTCAACTGTTTCCCCCTACGTCTGAGCCCCTCCTCCAGCCTACATACAAACCACCCCACCCCACCCTGCAAATGAGAGGGCGACTTCTTCTTCCCCCTAAGCCCTGCTGCCAAGATGACGGGGAGAAGGGAGTGGGGAAAGTGAGGAGATGCTTTCTATTACGTATTTTGTGGGAGGTTAGGAGGGAGAGGAGGAAAGCTATGGGGGAGGAGGAATTAACCCTCGATCCTCCTAGGTGAAGAAGCTGAACAGACTTCACCCCTCCACGCGAGAATGGAAGGGTACCCCCTCCCCTATGGGAGGAGCCGACCTCACAACTCGGAAGAAGGAGTTCTGGGGGTTAAACCAGCCCTCCAGGGGAAAAGAAGAAGGTAATGAGCTGACTCTCTCGGGGGAGCTCCCACCAGTGGGAGGGAGAGTTGCAGTGTCCGCTGGCTCCCGCCCACCCAGGTGGAGGAAAGAAGGGGACGCCCCAAGAAGATGGGCCCAGCCTCCCCCGAGATGGTGGGGAGGATGGTGGGAGGAGAGAGCAAGGGAGGGAGGAGAAAAGCGCAAAGCTGGCCGGAACCTGCGCTCCCCTTCCCCCGCCAACCAAAGGGAGAAGGGGTGGGGGACCGGCCCCGGACGCGATGAAGTGGCCCCAGTGGCGACAGACAAGCACAATGACCCCTCCCCACCCCCAGCCCACACCTAGCCGCGACGCCCCCACCTCCGCTCCCTGCCCGGCCGGGTGGCCCCAGTGGGGGCCCCGCCCCGCCTCCCCTCAGCCCAGGACCCCGAGGGCAGGGCGGAGAAAGAGGGTCGGGCGGAACCCCAGAACAAGACTGCGAAGGCCCAGGACGTCAGTAAAAAGCCGAGAGAAGGAACACGCCAGGGCCGCTTCCCGCCGGGCTTTCAGGGCCCTCGCTTACCTTCTCCGTTGCCGACGTCCGGCGGCGGCGCCTGCAGTACCCGCTCCAGCTCCGGGAACGGCAATTCAGGCAGGTCAAGCAGCGGCCCATAGCGCTCTAAGAAGGAGCAGACTACGGCGAAGTTGGGGCACGAACCTGGGCAGCCCGGAGGAGCCATCGCCGCCGCCGCTGCCGCCGCCGCCGCCATTTTGAACTGGAGGATGGAGGAGGAGGCGATGGGGGGGTATTGGGGGGAGTTGGGGTGTCGGGGAATGGCAGGGTAGCGTTACGGACGACAGGAGGCGCTATCGAGTGGGCTACCCTGCGGAACCAAGAGTCTTAGGGACAGCGCCGCGATCCCAGAATACAACGGCGTCCCGGAGCAGTCGAGAACCAAATCAGACAGGAGAAAGAGAGGCACTCTGCCTTTCACTTTCCGCCCCCTTCCTCCCTCTACTTCTCCCCTCCCACTTCGATTTCTCCACTGCCTCGTGTGACAGGGGGAATGAAAACAAGGAAAGCCGGGCGGGGAGGCGGGTCGGCAGCTGGAGGGGCAGTCCTTTTCAGGAAGGATGGCCAATAGAGTTGAGGGGGCGGGGTTGCTGTCACTGACTGGCCGAAAGGCTTTTTCGGGGCGGGGCGTGTGAGATGGCCGGGGAGCGCCTAGCCAAGAGAGCTAAACACGGGAAGGTGAGTGGCAAAGCACGGAACCGTTTGGTCAGGCAACTGCGAGGAGATTTCGGTGAGTTTTCGGGGGATCCTGGGAACGGAAGCTGAGCCACAAGATGGTGGAGGACATTGAATTGGTGGAAAAAGAATTAGAAAAACAAAGAGTAGGAAGAAAGAAGATCCTAAAAGGAGATTGGGAAGTGGCAATGTAGAGGAGCCTTTCCCCTTTTAGGGGATGGAACGGGACCTTTATGAGGAGGGGTTTCTGCAAAAGTTTGTTGAGGAGTATTGTTGAGGTCCAAGAGTCCCACCTTTGTCGGAAAAAAAAATAGAGTCTGAGGACATGGGACTCTGCCCGGGGTACAGGGTCTGAGGGAACGGATTTGTACTGGGGACAAAGTAGAGTCTGAAGGGTCGGGACCCTGTCGGTGTCACCAGGGTCTGAGGGGACCGGGTTCTGATGGGGAAGAAAATCTGTGGGTAAGGTAGCTCTTCTGTGGTTACCAGGAGGGGTAGGGGTCTTTGCTGGGAGTTCAGAGTGTCAGGGGACCGCGTTCTACTTTGGGACCAAGAAAATGGGCTTTGTTGAGAGATCAGTCTGAAGGTGGGTTAAGCTTCCATTGAGGGGGCAAACATGATACGAGACTTAGTGGAAGAACAAAAAGTTTTATAGAAGACCGGGTTCTTCTTTGTTGGGGAACAGACGTGAACATTCTACAAAGAATCCCAGAGGAAAGCCACCAATCAACAATAATGCCAGATAGAATGTACAGCTTGGGAAGCGGTATGCATAATGATTAGGAACTTGATCTTTGATTCTAGCCAGACTTGAGTCCTGACAGGACCTCTTCATGAAGTTGAGCAGGATTCCTCATTTCTTGAAACTTAACATAAAGCAGGGATGATGATACCTACATCCTAGAATTTTACTAGATAATTCACAGAAAAGTGACTAGCACAATGTCTTGGTATATTTATACTGTAAGTGTTTAAAAAAAAATGTTAGTTGCTGTTATTGAAGAGAGAAGTTTCTAGAATTTATTCAGCTATATTTAGCCTACAATTTACTTCTTTGAAACAAAATCTTCAGAGTACATTTAAAACCTACATAGTACCTACTTCCTAAAATAGATTTTGAAGCAAAGTACAATACACTGTTTAGGACAGGAGCTCTGGTGGTGTAGTAGTTAAAGTGCTTGGCTGCAACTGAAAGGTTGGCAGTTCACCCACCAGCTGCTCTGTTGGAGAAAGATGTAGCGGTATGCTTCTGTAAAGATTTACAGCCTTGGAAACTGGATGGCAGTTCTTCACTGTCCTGTATGGTCACCATGAGTCAGAATCAACTCAGTGGCAGTGGTTTAGGACAATTTATGATTAAATATTTAAGACAATGTATGATTAAAAGAAGACAAAGAACAATATGTTGTGATTAGTTGCCATGGAGTTGGCCTGACTCTGCTGTGCATGATGCCATGCACAACAGAACAATATACTGCACCGTCTCCATGATTGAAAGCAGATCTCCAGGCCTTTCTTCCTAGTCTGTCTGAGTCTGGAAACTCTCCTGAAACCTGCTCAGCATCAAAACAACACGCAAGCCTCCACTGACAGACAGGCAATGGCTGTACATGAGGTTCATTTACCAGGACTCAAACCTGGATCTCTTGCCTGGAAGATGAGAATCCTACCATTGGACTACCAAAGTGGTCTATATCATTCTCATTATATAAAGACAGACTATTAAGGAAGAAAAAGGTCTTCCTGACACTATATTGTTGTAAAAATACAGTAAATAATAGCTATCATTTCTGTCTGCATGATCTAAAATTTCCTTTAAAGATATCTTGTCAAATATATATGTGTATTTATATATATGTATATATATATTTGCCAATTTAATGTTTTTCACAAGTACAGTTTAATGACATCAATTGTATTAGTCACATTATGCAACCATCACCAATATCTGTTGCCAAATTTCTCATCACCTTAAATAGAAACAAAATGCTTCTTAAACAATGATTCCTCCTTTTCCCTTTCCTCCCACCTCCGGTAAGCACTAATAAATTTTGATATCTATACATTTCCCTATTCTAGATATTTCATACGAGTAAGATCATATAATATCTGTCCTTTTTTGATTCACTTACTTCAATCAGCATAATGTTTTCAAGATTCAATCCATTTTTTTTTATGGGTGAATAATACCCCTGAATCACTTTTAAAGGGAGAAAACACACACACACAGTTCATTTGAAACTTGGCAAATACTTTTGAAAATTCCAGTTTAAGAAATACTGATGTAAGAAATTAAAGTCTTACTTTAGGAAAATGTCTTATGGTTGTGAACTACTATTGCAAAAGAAGGTTTAATTTTTTTTTTTTAATTTTATTGTGAAAACATATACAACAAGACATTCAACATAACACCTTCCATTTTTATAGCTTAGGGACATTGATGACATTTTTCATGTTGTGCCACCATTATTGCTATCCTTTTTCAAAATATTCTACCACCATTAGCGTAAACTCCATGCCCTGCAAATAAAAACTTCCCCTTTCTCCCTGCTTCCTACCCCTGGTAACCCTAATAATCATTGGTTTCTTTTTTTTTGTTTTAGAGAAGATTTTTTTTTTTTTTAGGATTTGGGTGAAGATTTACAGAGTAAATTCACTTTTCATACAGCAGT